TTATTATTATTATTATTATTATCATTAAAATTGACATGAAAATTTAATTTCCATGTGAATGGTTGTTCTAGACTGGAGTGCCGAAATCATCTTCAAGAGCACCATCTTGGTCATCAGGCTCTATCACCTCAACATAAAACATGATTTTTTTGTTTCTTGTCCAGCTGTATGTGTTATCAAATCGTAGTATGTCTGATAAAAAGAACAAAAACGGGTGCATGTGTCAGATTGGTGAAAAAAAAGTTGGTGAGTAACATAACTTCCTCCTGCTGATTCTCACCAGACCTATTATTTTATTCACATTTCTGTGTCTTCAAAAAACATTTCAAATCTGGTTGAAAAATATGGACAACATTAATTGCTCACATAGGAAACAACTCCAAAGCAAACAACGATTACTGTACTGTAGGTCTTTTATAGTTGCAAGTGATGTTGCCTGCAATGTTGCACCTCTTGGTCTCACATTTTAAGCTGTCACGCTCAGCTCTCTTTGTGAATTTGAAAAGCAAAAAAAATGTAGTTACTCACAAGTTCCACGCTTCAGGCAAGTGACAGACCCTTGTTCTGGGATGAGATGACAATCCAGACGCCGAGATGGGATCTGGGAGAAAAGCAACCATGAAAATCAATAAAAATAATACGATCTTCTATCAGTAATCAGTAACGTTGAGATGTCTCTAGAAATCCTGCAAGTCGCGTACTGATCCGAACAGAATCAGTCTGTCACCTGATATCCATATTAGATTTTAAAATCACTATGACGTGGCCTTAAGACGACGAGAGTACTTTCTTTTCATATGCGCATACCGTCGTCTTCAATCCTGCGGTTATAATCAAAAAGCAACGACTGAAATGACGTTTTCGTATTCTGACTTCAAAGCACAAACGTACGGTGGCCCATAAGGGACATGCACCAATTTAGTATACTTGACACAAATAAGAAACCAGTTGTATGCATGTTAGACGAGTTGCTGCAAATGAGAAGTTAAACGAGTTGCTACAAATAAGAAACGAGTTGCTTTTTCTGTATTTTAGACGAGCTGCTGCAAGTTAAGAAAAAAGTTGCTGCCTGTTAGATGAGTTGTTGCATGTCAAACGGTAAGTTTACTATTGGGACTGAGTTTTAGAGAAGCTTGATGTATTTGTCTTTCCTTGAAAGCGTTAAAAATCGTCTCGTGTAACATCACCCAGTAACGTCTACATTCTTACCAACTCGATCATTTCTTTCCTTCGGTACTTGTCTTCTGTTGTTCCAGAGAAGTAAACACCAAAACCAATATCGTGATCTTCTGACGTGAACTCCCAGCTAAAGAGATAATCGCACGATGTTATTTTATTAGGTGACTGCAATTGTACAGGGTGGATTCAAGAAAAGAAAATTCTTCAGAGTAACTCAGCACTGCATKACTCGAAGGTCTGGGAGTAGAAAAAGAGAATGCGCACCCATCCGGTAACAAATGCCAAACTCAATGGGGACCAGGGACGGAGTGTGTGATCGTTCGTATATTTCCGAGGACTGACGAAACGTAGGAATCAGACAAATAGCTAAGATTTCAAAACGGATTGATTCTCCGTCAACAATAATGCGTTGTCAATGCATTTTGGCTTGGCGTCCACACTGAAAACGATCGAAAACGCTGAGCGTTTCCATCGAAAATGAATGCGCTTCGAAGACATTTTCAGAGTGGAGAGAGAGAGGTGAATGAGCAGAATAACGAAGTACTGTATCTTAGTATGAGCCCATCCCACACGGCTTACTGCCTCATCTCTCATCTACTACTTTTTCGTGGGATTCTACCAGCTCACTAGATACACCGTGCTGACGAGGCCCAATACAGGCCGAAACAGCTGTCCACGGTTTCTAGTTGAGCTGGCTCATCTTACGCGACTTAAAGTTGTGAAAGGCCCATTGGCCCTCTTCTTCAGTCGTTTCATATAAGGCTCGTAATTTACCTATTACGCATGTTCTTAATATACGATTTCCGAGCCCATCCCACATGGCTTACCGCCTCATCTCGCATATGCTACCCGGTGAACTGTACCTTGGTATACTACCCGGTATGCTTTACTTTAGTATATATATTAGCGGGTAGTATTTGCGCGTTGAGTCATGCCCAACAGAAATATACATTGCTTCTTTAATCCAAATCTTGTGTTTTTACGTTTTTACCATCAGAATTCTAGCAAAAACGATTTCTTATTATAGGCCGTATGAGTTTAGATTTGAATGGTTTCGCGCTTTGTCATTCCCAACATATAATATATATATATTAGTATTCACGTTTAACCATGTTAACAAATCCATGTTAAACACTAAAATATCCATTAATGAAAAAACATAAGGATTGTTAAGAGAATTGTTACTTTACCTTAGTATACTTCCCGGCACTATGACTTCATAGTCCAGCTTGAGTGTACTTCCTCTTTTGACAATGCCATTCTGATAGCTGTCTGTCATTCCGTATGTCTGACCTCGCACATAGTAGTACGACTCAGGAACATCACCTCCATAACAAATCTGAAAAGAGATAAGAAAAAAAAGGATACCCGTGAATTGGAAGTTTTGATGGTTTGAATGCGCAAGATAAAAGATGGGTAGAATTAAGTAAAAAGACATTTGAAAGTTTCGAGTTAGCCTTAGTTAAACAACAATGTCGTAAATGATGAAGGAAATTTCGTTTCCAACATCTGAATGATGGTTTGGACACACGAGGTGACGTTGTGTGTTGGTGTTGTGCAAAGTTGCTTGCATGATAGGCGAAATTGCTTTGTTTCTAGTCAAGGCTGGATAGACCTCCTTAAATACCTTGGGCATAATGTTTTCCCATTCCATACCATGTGTCATTCTCTAAATTATCATTTCTTTGTTTAATGGTTGAGCTGCATCAAGACACATGAATATGGGATACAGCTCAAACAAAGAATGATAATCTCAAGAGAATGACACGCAGCCTGGAAAAGAGGTTTACTCACGGTCAATCTGCAGCTGTTACTGCGTTATGTGACTTTATAATTATATTAATATCTCACCCTTGAAGAGCACCTTGGGTCACCATCTGGGTCTGTACATGTCCCTCCGTAGTATACAGGCAGGTTGTCTGCTGATATGTACTCCTGCAGCTCTCGCTTCCAGTCATCTTAAAAAACAACATACAGAAGAATTTGATGCAAATACAATAGAGAAATTCCCTATCAGATGACTTACAATCTGTGACTAAATAGGTAACCTACCTCYAAGAATATGTACTTTGTTTCTTGTTGCCTCACTGAGGAATGGTTTTACCAAAGCATAAGCCACAGGAAACAGCTTTGGAGCTAAAGAAGAAAAAGTGATGACCATTGATCAATTGATAAAAAATTAGAGCATACTAACCATATCTTGTTGGACTACTTTCCGCAGGTTTGGTTTGGTTTGTTGGGGGGGGGGGAGGTGTTCTCTCCCTTGTCATTTGGATTTTCTCAAACTTTTCTAATTCCTTTCTCAAAAGGTGAGCTTGCAATGATAGAGACATGTGAATAATTGTCCAAGGTGTTAAAAAAGGTCTCTATCATTGCAAGCTCACCTTTTGTCTTGCTCCAATGCAAAGGCACAACTACTTTTCAAGATGGCGCCAGGAATTGGGAAGGGGACTATTACACTTAAATTTTGATCAAGAACACCTTCTGCAGGCTTCATGGTTGTTTAGTAAGAAAAAAATCTTCAAACAAATTAAAATATTAAGTTGAAGTTATTTCTCACCTCTTATGACCAATATATTTTTCATAACCTCTGGGAAATTATCTTCATAAAATGATGCCACCTTAAGAAAAATAAATATATTAAATTTACGTGAACTGCTATAAGATTTAAATTTAGGCCGAGTTTACATGGTACTGGACAAATTTTTAGAGTTCAAAAAGTCATGGCTTTAGGAGTTCCATGCATTCACATAGTACTCTGCTATACATCCAGTCAAAAAAATTATATGCCTAACTGTGCAAATTCAAGACCTTCAAAATCAAGGYCAAATTTTTGACTTGCACACTAGAAAAAAATTGACTGGCACCGGTATGTGAACTACTTGTCTGTATAACATTTTGTAAAGCTCGCTGATATTAGGCAGATAATGCTTTGCACATGTTGATCGGATGGAAAATGAAACCAATAACATTATCATTAACAGAACATACTTTTCATATGATTAAAGACATGTTTCCCTGTAAATGGCATGTAATTATGGTCAAATTCTTGAACAGTTATAAAATATATCTCTCTGATGCTGTGTAAACAGCACAGCAAATAAAATCCCTCACCTCATTGAAAGTCATCACTCCTACAAAAGAAAGCAAATAGTTATAATAAGCTAAACTTAAAGTAAAACTAAAAGATGAAGAGAAGGAATGAAAGAAAAGCAAATGGGAAATGAATGAAAAGAATACCATAATATCTTTGTACCTGGCTTCCATAAGTGTTTCATGCCAAGACCGTCCACATCCATGATTATCACTAGCTGATCAACTCTTTTACCAAGCTACAAAGTTTWAAAAAAAAATCAATATTTCATTCAGTCTCAGAACCAACTCTTGACCACAGGAATCCCCACTAAGAATCTGATTTTACCTTCTCAGTTTGTTTGCTTGCCAAGTCCAATCCATATTCTCCTGTGTATGCCTTGAATTTTATCACTTCATCTTTCTTGATGGATGATAACAATCCTGAAAAATTTTTTGGGGAAAAATGGAGATAAATTCATTCAACTTTGACTGTCAGTTTTGTGTGTACCAGCTCATGGGTTCTAGTAACATTAAAAATCAAGCATTTTTATGCTCAAAAAATTTAATATCATTAGGATATCATTAGGATATCTGTGATGTACCTTTAAAGTCCACTCTTCCTATTGGATCAATATCATTAGGATATCATTAGGATATCTGTGACGTACCTTTAAAGTCCACTCTTCCTATTGGATCAATATCATTAGGATATCATTAGGATATCTGTGACGTACCTTTAAAGTCCACTCTTCCTATTGGGTCAATGAATACTGGTGCACCTTCTTTATCATAACCAAAGTATCCGCCTGGGTAATACTTCTGTAGTACCTGGAAAGGACAAAGTTAAAATACTATATGTGTTTAGATGTGGACACCATATAGCTAGGACTTTCATTTATTAAGTAGGAGGGGGAGATCAGAGAAACCACTTGATGTGGTGTTATCAAAGTAAACTGCTCTCTCCTCCCCTTCATACCTCCCCCTCCCCTCTCCCTCCCTCCCTGGCCCTCCTATAATTTTTGGTAATCATCTCTCCAGTATTGTACAACAATGTAACCACCTGCTCCTACATACCTCAGGAATGTCGTAAGTGTCAAGTATTGTGTCAAGTCCCAGTTTTTTTCTGACCTTCAGGCTCTGTTGAAAATGAATGGAAAAAGAAATGAAAATAAATRAAATAAATGAAAATGAAGTGAAATGAAAAATTTAAGAACCCTGGAGTGCCTTAAAATGAAAAATTCATTGGTCCCAAAAAATCAAGTCCAATGGAAAAAATATATGAATGGAATATGAAAAATGAATGAAAAGATGAAATGGATAAATAATAAATAATTATGAACAAATTTTGCAATAAAAAATATAATATCTAAAAGTTAAAAAAAATATCTCAGAGTACTAACCTCCCTAAGCATAAACTCAGACTTCTCAAGGTTAAAATTGCGAGCTGCAAAAATTAGAGATCATTATTTATTTACATAGTTCTGTTATTGAAAAACTCTTAATAATGTTTTTTCCCCTTTACTTTGTCTAAAAATTAAAGGTCACCTAGTTGTTAATTAATTGTTGCTAGAAAATATTCATTGATTATTAAATATATTATCATTATTAATTTTCAATATAAATCAGGATTTTAATGTGTACCTCTTAGCCATCTAAGTAAGAAGTGGTCATCATGGTAAGGTTGTAAAACATCAGCAATGCGCTCTTGGAACTAGAGGGAGAAAAAATAAGGCGAATGTGGGAATAACTAAGTATACCTTATTTGATATAGTGGTGATTTCAGGCCATGTGTCATTCTCTTGAAGATATTCTTCTTAGTTAGTGAGTTGTACATATATACAGGAAAACATATAAGGTCATGAAAAAGGTCATTATTTGCCAAAACCAGTCTAAATGCATATATATTTTATAAATTTATGTTAAAAATCATGGTGAATGGTAAAATCAAAATATGCAGTATACGTAATAAAGATTATTACAACCAAAGAAATAAAGTAAATGAGTGATGAAATAGAAAGCGTGCAAGCATGCTGTGTGCTCCCATAATGCACATGCTCTCAACCCATCAGAAYGCTAGCTAGATTTCTAACAGTTAATTTGTAATATGTTGCACCCGAGGGGGGGGGAGGTACTCCCCTATATTTGCTATACGGGTATGTGCCGCCCTATAGGGGATGGTTTTTCGGCTTTTGGGTCTGGGGTAGGGTATCATTTTTTGACATTTTGTCTGGGATAGGGTATCATTTTAGTCTGGGATAGGGTTAATGATTTGGTCGTTTTTGTCTGGCGAATAGGTGATTGCAATCGATTGTAAAACCGTATTTTTCGTCTTTTAGTCTGGGATAGGGTGTACACTTCTTAGTTTTAGTCTGGGGTACGATATGTAAAATCAAAATTTTAGGTCTGGGATAGGGTCAGGGTTTTGAGGTCTCGGCGGCACACCCCTACCCAAGTTGGGGTGGTAGTACCCCCCCGGGATGTTGCATAAGATAGAGCCAAAGATAAGAACAGCTGAAACTCAGAGTTTATTATTGCCACAAAAGCTATAGCTGGAGCTGACAAGTACTTTGTGTTTAAGAGGATACACAAAGGAGACTACATTTTCTAGAATAATTAAAATATCAAATTCAAGGACAATCAATTTTTTGATACTTATATATTAAACTGTGAAAACATAGAAGATGAACCATGTTTTCATTCTTTTGATCAAGATATTTCTAAAAATATCAAGGGTAATATTATACCTGATCAAGAACAAACTGTTGATTGAAACTCAGATCTCCAACATGTCCAGTCATGTCAGTTCTGGAGTTGATCCTAGTTAGAAAATGAAAGTGCAAAAGGATAACAACATCAAGATTGTAGTACAGTGTACAATTAACCTTAAAAAGTACAAAATTGTCCCTTCAAAAATTTGTCAATAAYTCCAATATATAGATATCTCATAAATAAGATATATCATGAATAGTTAACTTGTTATTTTTCAAACTAGGACTTTTAACGTTTGGTGTTAATATTATTACTTTTGCAGGTAACAACACGATATATAGTATAGATAAAACATTCAAAGCTTGCCTTGTTTTTTAGCTTGGTTAATTCCTCTATCAAATCTTGTGAATCATTTGATGAAGTTTTTCTCTAAAAACTGACCGCGAAATCTAGAAAATGTAAATAAAGAGTGTGATTTTCGATTTATTATCTTTTATGAAAATCTTTTTAAAAATATCTTAGGAAWATAAATCTATTTTGAAACCAGTTTTTGGTCTCGCTCGCAACAGCTGTCATAGCCTTTGTCTGTCTTCCTACGCACGCAAACACTTTCGGTTTTCTGAATATTTAAATAGAAATTCATTCCTTTTACAGATTTGGAAATATTAGTAACTACAAAAGAGAACTGGAGTATCTAGTCCTCAATGAAGATAGATARCATTGGTTTATTAAATTGCACAAAATTTAAAATTTCGTGTGTGTTGGTAGTGTGAATTCACAGCTAGTATTAAACTATGGTGTTGGGATTCGAAGATCAAGAGACATCGGCTTCATTAAGCTTATGCTAAACAAAACTCAAAGATTTAAGACTTCATTTAAAACTTTAGAAAACTCTGAAATCAAAGTAATAYCTTTGGATTTGATCGCTTTTCGACTTTTTACAACATTTAATTCGGTTAAATCATGGGCTGACGACTTTTTGTTCCGGATAAAGAACCTTTAAAAGTCTTCAAAAATGCACGAATAAATAGAGATAAAATGGCTGATTCTTACCAGATTGACTTCTCGTCTTGAGTATAGCACTTCCGTATGGGATATATTTGAATCTGAAGCGATTTTTTTAGTAATTTAAACCTCTCGCCTCATGATCGATCACAACTGTTTTTCTCGCGGTGTAAACACACGACTTGAGCCCGCGATCTAAAAACAAAATTTTCTCAAGTGTCAAGTGAGGGGTGGGTGGGGAGGGGTGGGTGGGGATTGAAGCCTTTCAAAAATGCAGGTATCATTTGTTTTATAATTCTGAAAATTAAACTAGACATTAACTTTGATTCTGATACAATCATCTAGTAAGTAAAATGATTATTTTTCAGATGCAATCGTTTTTCTGCATTTTTGCTTTGAAATCTTAATATGTATTTTAAATAATTTTTAATCTTCCACTATTTTGCGGAAAAGTTTTTGCACATTTTTTGAGATATCCTTACATTAAAAATAGAAATATTTWAAGATCATTACAAATATTTATAACATGATAGAAGTTTTTCCCAGGTTTTCCCCTGACTTTGTGCGCGTGATAGACTGGGTTCCAGTCATGTAAGGAATCGCGCGCCATTTGATTTTTGTTTTGAGCGAGAAGTTCGATTCTCTTTGACTTTGATCTTGATTTTTATGCCAAAATATCTTTAAAATAGCGCTAAAAATGGATAGAGGAGACGGAGATGGAGTAGATGACGATATATCTAAGGGAATTTCGCGATTAAACATAAATCAAGAATCGAAATCTGTAGAAACGGCAGATAGAGGTGAGTTAAAAATGCACGGATCAGTTTTCGTTATCAAATGTTAACTTTCGATGTTCTAAGGTTCAAAAGATAAGTTAGATCTATACATGTAGAACTAGTTAAACTAGTTAGATRAGTCGACAGTTGTTCTTGATAATGAATTTATTGCCACAAAGTATACAAACTTGATAACCCAACCGATATTCCCCCTCAAAATCCTCCCCTGAATGTTTGATTTACAGCTGTAATTCCATCCTGGATCRAGATTGATGAATTCTTTTTTATCGGCCCACGAGCCCCAACAAACACCTACTTCCCCCCTACCCCCACCTCCCTGGATTTCCATCGACTTTGAGCCACCCCCTCCCCTGGATTTCCATCGACCTTGAGCCACCCCCTCCCCTGGATTTCCATTGACCTTGAGCACCCTTTCCTCATAGATTTTCCAAAGGTCCTCAAAAAGGGGTGTGTGGATAAAAAATGCAACTGCCCATTATCAGTAGATATTAAATTATTGTATAAACCCTCAATAAAAGATTATCATTATTATTGTTATTGACACAAGGTTCATAAACTTACCTCCTTTAATACTTAATAATAAGAACTATAACAATCTTTTGACCTATACAATTGATTCCTTGTCCAGCCTACAAAATAACCCTTGTTTCTTATACCTTTCTCTTCTTTCCTTTTCTGAGTGACAGCAGATTGCATTTTAAAGTGTAAAGGAGTAACAATCACCACAAGATCTCACACCCCTCCCCCACCCCAGCTCCGCAGCCCCTGTTATTTTTCAAAAGAGTGAAGGGACACCAAATCCACCTCTGTCATCATGGAATATTCAGGTTTAAACTCTAAAACTAATAGGCTTATTTTTTCTGTTGAAGTTCATTCAAATGGAAACACAAATTCACTCAAGGCCAAGTTTAACCAACTTGTTCTTGATGCTAAAGAAAAAGCAAGGCAGGGATTATTAGAAGAAGCTCTGGAGCTGTTCAACAAAGCATATAACATTCATCAAAGTGAAAAGTTACTAAAAAGAATAAATAAACTTAAAGTATGTATCTTTTTTTAACCAATACTGCTTGAAATTTTATCAAACCCTGAAACAACCTCTGGGATGATGAAACATCGAGGCATGGTTTACTCACATATTGAAWTGGAACTTAGCATGTTAGGTCAAGATTGCAGTGGGAGGAATAGTGGTAGGCTGTTCTTTGCACAGGAGAGCCACAATGCCAGGTTAAAATACTGGAGAACCTGGACAACCTGAATATAACCCTTGAATCAAGGGATAGTCCTAACATAAAATCTACTTGTGAATGCATTTAATGCTGACTCAAATTGAGATTGAACTTGAGTCCCCAGAGGTTAATGTTTTTCTAACATCCAAGTTCATTCCAATAAACTTGCCCTCTGTCTTGCTGTCTTACAGTAAACCAGTAGCTGTTATTCATAAAGAATCTTTTTTTATACAGGAATTTATAAAAGAATATGCGCAACAGGAGGAGGATGAAGAGGAAGAAGAAGAAGAGGATGATAATGGAATGATAGAAGTGGGCAATGGGTTTAGTTTAGCCAAAGAGATAAGTGAAGCCCTCTACCCTTACCAAAAGGAAGGTGTCTTATGGTTCTGGAAGCTGTATCAGAAGAAGCAAGGAGGAATTCTAGGCGATGATATGGGGTATATGATCACAACACACAAGTAGATCTCGAAAGTTTGTTTCATTCCTTACCAAAAACGTTCCTTTTTGGAAGGTGGCAATGTTTTTCCATTTTAGTCTGTGTAAAGGGTAAAAATAAAGGCTGATAAAATGGTCAGACATGATGACCAGCCATATCAAAACATTACACCAATGTCACCTGTCAAAAGGATCTGCAAAAGAAAAATTGGCTGTCAAGTACTAATAAATAACGGTCGGTAAATCGCAGGTCATGAAGACCAGCCAAAATGGTTTTAGCTCGGACATACCTCATTTCTGGCTCAATGTACTGGTCAAAATGACCGGCAAGGCAAGCATTTGATCAGTTCCAATTCTGGGCAGACATTGTCAGATGTCCAGTCTATTTTAAGCACTGCCTTTTAGAATATAAATATATCATTTTACACAACTGCTTTTAAAATCTTCTTTGCTTTCTTCAGGTTAGGGAAGACAATTCAAGTCATTGCTTTCCTATCTGGGATGTTTGACAATGAACTTATCAAGAATGCTCTTATTGTCATGCCTGTGTCTCTTATATCAAACTGGGAAAAAGAATTCAAAACTTGGTAAAATAAAAAGTTAGATAATGATTATAATCTTTCTGCCCCAAAATGTTCATCAAAACTGTTTTAAAACCTTCATATTGTATCAATACCCTAACTAGTTTACATTAACCACACTGGGCTGATCTAAGTCAGGACATGTCTAACTCATAGTTAGTTTGTTAGGCTTTACGAAGGGATGAAAAGCAGTATGAATCGAACCCAAGACTGCTGTACAATCCTTGATTCCCTAAATGCCTTCTTAGCATATTGTTTGTGTGTAGTCTGTGTTTGATTGACAGTAATTTTTTATCTCCACTTCAGGACTCCTGGCATTCGTGTGAAGTGTTTCCATGGTAGCAACAAGAAAGAAAGGCAGAAAAACTTGGACAAGATACAACAGAAAAGTGGTGTTTGCCTGACAACCTACGGTAGGTACAGCTGATTTGATATAGAACATCATTCATAATGTTTTCCTGCATCATCAGCCTCAAATGTTTATACCAACTCATCTATTTACTAGACATTTTGTAGTCTTGTTTCTGCTTTGTTTATCTGAATTGAATTTTTGTTTGTTTGTAGGACTGGTTGTTTCTAGCAGTGAAATACTAAGCAACACCTCAGATGGACGACCATTTAGATGGGTGAGGTTGATTTGATTAATCACGCTAATACTAATAATTTAGAATAGAACCAAAAGAACACAAAATACAACATTGAACCAATGCAAGTTATTTTCCAAACACAATACCATCCCACCCACATCCTACTAAGTAAATCACTAATACCCAGCAATAATCTAACAACCTTTTCCTGCCCCCCCCCCCCCAAAATAAAATTGACAAGACAACCTGCCAGATATAAAAGTGTCAGTCCACCTATATATGTCTCTATCAAATAATGTGAATGTAGGTGGATTGAAACAAACATCTATCTAACAGGCTAGTTACCCATTTTTTAAATATGTTAGAACTAAACAGAAAACTGTAACTTATAGAAAAGCAGTTTAATGTGTAAAATTATGTGGTTACTAAAACCAGGAACGATCCACTATGATCAATTAGGTCTTGTTTATTTTGGACATCGTTTTGTTCAGTGTGTGGCTTGTTGTGGCTCGTGGATACAGTAGTTGTGTAATCTTTTGCCTTGTTGTGGATCGTTGTCACTCAGGGTCATTGGTGGTGGTTCCACGTTTTAGCTATACAGTACTACAAAAATTATGTTTACTATTGAAATAAACTTTGTAAGCTAGCTAGCCTACAAATCTTGCATTTTTATTTTTCCCATAGGATTTCCGGGTTTTAGCTACTACAGAAATTATGTTCACTGTTGAAGTAAACTTTGTAAGCTAGCTAGCCTATTAATCCTACACTTTTATTTTTTACCATAGGATTATGTGATCCTCGATGAAGGGCACAAGATTAAAAACCCAACAAAGACAAACAAGAACATTAGGACCATCCCAGCAAGGAATCGCTTCATCCTCACTGGGACACCCATTCAGAATAACCTCAGGGTAAGATATCTAAGTATCTTTCCATCATTATTGTATGTTTATACCATTGATACATACCTGATTCATACCAGCTGTATTCTTTATCTGGTGGTTTATTCACATTTGATCATGCATCATGGAGCTAAAGCACCGCATACCTGTTTATATATATCATCAAATTAAAGTTAAGGCTATGTTCATTGCATGTAGTATCTTCAAAATTGAAACAAACTTCAGTTAATAGCCTGAAACAATCTCTGGGCTGATCAAAGTCAGTGAACTACAACTCACTGATCAAATAGGAATTCAGCATGTTAGGTTAGTAAGTTTTTCCTCTCAACATTGAATTGGCTGATAGACTTTGTACTTCTTGCATCTGCAGGAGATGTGGTCTTTGTTTGATTATGTGACACAAGGACAACTTCTAGGATCCTCTAGAACCTTTAAGCAAGAATTTGAGAATCCTATCGTAAGGGTAAGTTGGGAATATAGGATTTCTTCCAACATCTATTTATCCATTCATTCACTTAAATCATCCATTCATTCATGCACTCACTCCCATTCATTCATTCAATCAGTCATCTCTCACTCATTTGCTCATTCATGTGTTCATTCATCCATGCATTTACTCACATTCATTTATTCAGTTATCACTCACTCATTTACTAATTCATTTATTCATTCATCCTCACATTTACTCACATTCATTTATTCAGTTATCACTCACTCATTTGCTCATTCATTTATTCATTCATCCATGCATTTACTCACATTCATTTATTCAGTTATCACTCACTCATTCAATCAGTCATCACTCACTCATTTCTTCATTCAGTCAGCTCTCATTCAGTCACCCTCTTCCATTTTTTCTTTTGCCCATCCCATCCCAACTCATTCATTCACTTCCCTTTCAAATTCATTCCATTACGCCTTACCCATTTCTCATTCTATTTAAGCCTAAGGACTAAGTTCTTTCCTTTTCGTATTTTTGTTTACTCTTTTTTTAATTTCTAAAGGCCAGAGAACGAGATGCCAGTGCTTATGAAAAGCGCATAGGAGGTGAAATGGCCAAGAGTTTGAGGAAGCTGATAGATCCTATTTTCCTACGCCGCACCAAGGCCATGGTGCTCAAGTCTAAGGATTCAACACCAGACAAGGAAGATGGAGTAAATGCAACTCAAGGGGAGATCTCTCTGTTGAAAACTCCAAGTGCATCGTACGTTAAATTAAAATCTAATAACTTTGTATCAAAAATCAGAGAGTGAATGCTTTTGACACCAGATTTATGAGTTAATTTTTGAGGGAGGAAAATTGGAGAACCATGAGAAAAACCCTCAAAGTACAGCTGGTAAAAACAACAAGCAACTCTAGTCCTTATAAGATGGTGGAAAATGGGAAAAATGCCAAAACTCCTGGTACATTCCTTGAATTTAATGCAAACTTAATGCTATTTCTAACTTTCCTTTTGAAATAAATAACGATTAAAATTGATTGAAGAGTTTTCGTATATTTCGTAAATAGCCTAGCTGAATATCTGGGTACTTCTGGTAAGAATGCGTAAATTAAAAATCTACTTATCTAAGCTAGTGGCCCCGGCTGAATTAGCTGCACTTTCTAATACAAAAAACTTTGTCCTTGACAATCGAATTTTTGTGCTTGAGAAGTGCTTAAAAAGTCCTTGAATTTTGTAACGCAAATGTAGCACGAACCCTGACTACAGTGATAGGTTGGCTATTCCTCGGAGGGTATAGTGAAGTGTCAGACATCCTTAACATAAGTGTTTTTTCCCCCAGGCTTCCAGAAAAGCTCACTCGGAAGAATGATTTTATCATATGGCTTCATCTGTCTGACACCCAGATCAAGATCTACTCAGATTTTCTAGGTTTGGAGCTAGTAAAAGAGGTAAACAATATTCTCATGTTACACTGCATTTCATGGTTTTGTTGTTACTGCATAAGCTTTCTTTCATTATTTTTCCCCTGAAGCTTTTGATGAGTAATCGCTCTCCACTAGCTGAGTTAAATATCCTCAAGAAGATCTGTGACCACCCAAGACTCTTGTCCGCTATGGCATGCAGTCAGTTGGGGCTAGATGATAATGCAAGGTATGTCCATCTGTTGATCCATTCATTTATCCATTCTTCCAATTGTTCATTCTTTCATCTTATCTCTCTACTAAGTCATCCACATACCAAGCATCTTCATGTCCACCTAGCATCTGTCCATCCATCCTCTCATCAACCAAAAACCTATCTATTCAACCTGATTGACAATCTTCATCCACCCGCATCCATTCATAGCACATCCATCCATAATGTCAACAATCTATACGTCTATCAACCCACCATCTATCAACCCATCTCATTTTCAGAGCTATTGACCTGGAAGAGAACAAGGAGAACGAGAATAGTAATATAGAAAGATCGCTAACAGCCAAATATGATGATGGTGGTATTGGAGTATCAGACAATGCCCTGATCCAGGAATCTGGTAAAATGCTGTTCCTGGTAGCCTTACTGGACAACTTGAAGAAAGAAGGTCACCGTTGCCTGGTTTTTAGTCAGTCAAGGAAAATGCTCAATATTATTCAAAGAATAATCACTCGTAGGGTAAGTATACATATTTTCTTTAGCTTGGGCATAATTTCCCCCCATTTCATTCCATGTGTAGAGTATTGTAATACAGTATCAGTCAGTAGTGTTCACTGAGAGCCGGTAAGCAGGTGTCCATGTGAACATTAGACATATGTTGTACAAATTTCTTTTTTGTTGTCGAGATGTATTGATCTTTGCCGGTAATGAAGCAGTTGTTGATAACATTATTAATCTTTGTTAAATAATCRTCATGAACAGACACATGAATATGAAATAAATTTGCACTAAGTTTGTTAATCATTTACAGGGTCACAAGGTTCTTCRTATTGACGGCACTGTCTCAAAAACAGCTGACAGGCAGCATCTGATCAACACTTTCCAAACCAATCCATCCTACACATGCTTTTTGCTCACTACACAGGTAAATGAAAACATACATCAATTTTGTTGAACCCTGAAACAACCTCTGGGCTGACCTTTAAGCCAAGGCACTGCTAACTCAAAGATTGAATCCTAATTAAAACAACCTCTGGGCTGGTCTAAGACCACCCATGGCTACCTTGCATATCCGAATCAAATTCAAAGGGGAGCAGGAGAGGGTGATGAATAAAAACACACTTGACATTGATATGTTTATCTTCAGGTCGGAGGTGTTGGGTTAACATTGACCGCAGCCGATCGTGTTGTTATTGGTAAGTAGTGTTGAGTCAATCAACTTACCTTTCTTTATATAGCTAGTTAGTTGCTGTTCATGATTACCAGCCAAGTTAGTTTTAGCTCAGTCATACTTCATTCCTGGTCAACATTTCYGGTCAAAATGACAGGCAAGGTTAAGAATACAAGTTCCAATGACCAGTTGTTATTTCAAGCCCAGAGCCTGGTTTACATGAGCAATGAAAATGCAAGCAAACTAACAGTGTAAACACATGGTGCAATGTTGCATGCGACATCGCATAAAGAGTAGTAATTTCTACTTCTGTGACATTGTACAACATTGCACCATGTGACACACACACAAAAACAGCCCTTTTTTATGCAATGTTGCATTGTGCACTTTGTTTACATATTCAAAAACATTTTTGGTCTTGCATTTGATTTGTATCAACACATGCATATTGACACATTAAAGAGACAAAYGCAAACACAAGGAAATGAAAAAGTTTTGAATCTGTTCCTTGCATTTGCGTTGCTATAATTTCTAAATAAATAAATTTTTAAATAATAATCAGGCTTATGTTTTTCACATTTAAAACAATCTAACTTATATTTATGTTTTACAGTTGATCCAAGCTGGAATCCAGCCACTGACGCTCAGGCCGTTGACAGGTAAATAGAAAGGAAAAAATTAATACTGAATTTAAAGAAACAGTAAACATRGGAGAAAACTAGACATTTAAGAATGGAAAAAGAGATCAATTATAGCTAATAAATGAACAAACAGGAGAGAAAGGATAGCAGATATCAGATCTAGAGTTACACTTTATTCAATTCACAAGTTTTTAAAAGCTTTTTATTTTCTTTACCAGAGCATATCGTATTGGACAAAAAAAACCAGTGGTGATTTACAGGTTGATCACTTGTGGTACCATAGAAGAGAAGATCTATCGTAAACAGATATTCAAAGATGCCTTGATGAAGCAGGCTACTGGCTCCTCCGCCAACCCCTTCAGGTAAATCTGATTTTAATATTCATCATCATCATCATCATCATCATTTATCGTGCCAAGAGGTGCACAAGATCATCACACTAAACTGTTGATAAAAAGCCCTCTCAGACTGTATGTTGTTTCATTTCCTCCCAGGTATTTTACCAGAGAGGATCTCCGTGAGCTGTTCACGTTAGATGACCCAATGAAGTCTAAAACACAAGTTCAGCTGTCCAAAATGCATGCACATCACCGCGATTCAGACCAGAAACTGGACAAACACATTGAGTTCCTGCACAATCTGAGTAAGAAAGATTTTCTTCCCTAAAAAAAGTGTTTCATTGATAGGGCAGCAAGAGGCTGATTAGTTAAGATGGACCAAAACTATTGGAACCCATTTGAGTGTGCATCAATTGCAAACCATTTCAGTGTCAAGCATCGATTGAAATCCACTTCAGTGATTTGGACACATTTCAGAATTCCAGTATTTTTTGGAACCCATTTTAGTCTTCTGACATTGATTGGAACCTATTTCAGTGTTCCAACATCAATTGGAACCCAACACAGTGTTCCAACATCGATTGGAACCCATTTTAGTGTTCCAACATCAATTATTGCAACCCATTAAACTGTTCCAGCTCTGATTGGCACCCCATTCATTATGAACAACATTTTTCTTAGCCATAGAGTGACCAACATAGTTTGTTTTCTTTTCCAAGACATATTCGGCATCACAGACCACRATCTGATGTACAGTCAAGAAGCTGTGGAGACTGCTGAAGAAAAGGAACAAACAGGCGATGCTATCCAGGCTAGAGTATGTAACACAACTGATCTAGATTAAGATACCAACCCATCATGTACCACCTGAAAAAGTTTCCAAAGAAAAAYGTTTTTCTTATCGACTCTTTCTTTAGCACTGGTTGTATGTTTTCCTATTTCTGACTTTCTGTCATTCCCTTCRATATCATTTCTTTGTTTACTATCTGTACATGATATGACACATGAATATGAATACAAATCAAACRATGAAATAACACTTTTGACTAGAGAATGACATGTGTTCAAATGAAACATAATATGCCCAAGATAAAGAAGTCTATTGGCTAAAAATGTAATCAAAAACCAATGACATAACACATAACCTAGAGACCTTACTGATAACCTTGAAAGGTGTGGTTGCTGAATGGTCTTTTTGTTTGACTTGGAGCCTGTAGGTTGTTTGACCTTTGACGCAGCTTATCCACTTGCAAGACACTTGGGTACCAAGTATTGTTGGGGGTACCCTTTTATACACCAACATCCAATCCACTGTGGAGGGAGAAGAGAAACTCCTAGTCGCTTCATGCTACATATTACGGAGCACCAATGCTGACAAGTGGCTCTCCCAGTTCCTATGAGGACACAACTTTACTCTGGTACTAATTGTCTTGCTTGATCTTAGGTCATTCGTGCACAGAATATGGTGGCTGCAGAATCTAGTGCAGGTGGTCAGACCCTCCCCAGTGTGCTGCCTGCACCATACCAGAACCCTAAGTCACTGCTAAAACCAATCAATGTGCAGGACTTGATCAATGAGGAGGATAAGAAAACAATCCAGGCCAAAATCCATCAGTTTGAGGTCTTCAAACCAACTCGAGAGGATACTAAGCGCTTCATGCCACGTGACAAAAAAGTGAGTACACTTGGTGTACTTTAAAAATTTTTTCAAACCCTGAAGGAATCTCTGGGCTGATCTAGGTCAGGGCATGACTCACTCACAAATCAAACCCTGAAGCAATCTTTGAGCTTATCTAAGTCAGGGCATGACTAACTCACAGATCAAACCCTGAAGCAATCTTTGGGCAGATCTAAGTCAGGGCATGACTAACCCAYAGATCGAACCCTGAAGCAATCTTTGAGCTGATCTAAGTCAGGGCATGACTAACTCTCAATTCAAAACTGGAATTTAGTGTGTTGGGTTTTGTGGGAAAAAAATCCTTGAATCAAAGGAGAAAACTAAGAAACTTTGCTGAGTCAAGGAATTGAACTCAAAACCCCAGAGGTGACGCCACCCTTAATTCAYTAGTGACCTGTACAGTAATGTTTTGATGATGATGGTGATGAAACCTAAATCTTTCTCCAGCCTCTGATGCCCCAGGCTCCCAAAGCCAATGACGTAATTGACTTGTGTACTCCACCCATCAGTCCCGGCATACAGAAAAATGATACCAGGGATTTGACCAAGGGTGATCAGACTACTATAGATGACGACATGGCAAACCTGTCGATTCAAAATAGAAGCAGCTCCTCTTCAGTTGARATTGAAAAGTAAGTGCTTTGGATCATTGTATTTCATTTTTTCTTCTCTCTCCCTTTCTTCGTTGAAAATCTCAGGAAATCTGACAAACTGAGGTGTGCCATTTGCTATTTGTTCCTTTCTTTTTAAAGTAATATTGCTTCTCAAACTGGTCCTGTTTTATCTATTTCAGCGATGACTCATCAGAGGGTAGTGATCATGACAACCCTCTTGTTATTCTGGATTCATCTCCAACTAAACAAAACCATATTCTACCAAATCGCATGATGGCACCCACACATGACTCTCCAGTACCTACATCATCACACGACACCACTTCACCAGTTGAATCATCCGACTCGCCATTATCTAAGCCACCAAGTGAGCCTTCCATGAATATAGAGATACCTGATTCACCAGCAACTGAGCCAGCACGTGACACCATATCGCCTATACAGRCAGGTGACTCTCAGGTACCTATATCATCATGTGACTCTACCTCACCTATGAAATTAACTGACTCACCAGCATCTGTACCATCACATGGCTTCATGTCACCTATACAGACAGGTATACAAATATCRCAAGACTCCTCATTGCCTGTACAGATATGTTATTCAACAATACCTATACAAGCATTTGGTTCTGTGTCAAATTTAGCAGAACCTGAGTTTGATGGAAGGCAATCCGATCCTTATGTGGCTGATAATGACAAAGAGGATGAGATGAATCAATCAGAAATTTATCCACAATTTTCACATGAGAAAATTGAMGATAGCAAGGAATCTGTGGATGAAAGAAATTCCGGAGCAAGTGAGAGTGAYCTGTGTTCATCCACACCCATGGAGGATACTGACGCTTCCTCAAGAGCACCTGACRCTACCCATTTAGACTCCCATCTAGTTTCAACCACACCCTCTGAATGTGACCTTCCTCCTGACCTGCTGAAAAGGACATCTACTAATGCCACACCTGAGGATTTACACCTGTCTCCGACCAAACTAACCTATTCWAACCCCTCTTTGAYCACAACTATGGAAGATGCTGTCCTGCCTTCGACCACGCCTATGGATGATGCAGACCTGTCTCCAGCCACACCGATTGAGCAGTCTATAGAAAACATTCTGTTTGCATCCCCAGCTGTGTATGTAAATGATGACGGCATAATGCAGACACCGCGGAGAAAGAGTTCTAAGTTCAGACGTAAAAGCTTGAGTCAGCGTCCCTTCAATAACATTGATGATTCAGATGACGACGATGAAAGCAGTAATGTCATTCCTCTCAAAGTACAACAACAAGTAAAGGTTGTGGAGAGCAGTAATCAAAGTCTGAACGAAAGTTCCGATGTCTTTTTGACACCTAATTCATCAAGGAATTCAGAGTCTTTTTCATTAAACAAGGAAAACATCAACGAAAGCTTCCAGCAGAGAATGTCAAGTACCGTCATGGTATCCCAGGACAATGAAGACAAGGGTGTTGTAAACATGACTAAGGTTCRCAGGAAAGTGAAGAGGATCGATAGTACTGATGATGAAGAGAATGAAGAGGACTATGAGGAGAATGTTGCAAGCATAGAGAAAAAAGATGAAGAGGACCCCGCGTTTAGTACACCCACTGGCAGCTCRCCGGGGGCAGAAACAGAGAGCGATGATAATGCTAGCGAAGATGAACTGCCAATCAGAGCCAAGAAGACACCAAGAAAGGTCTTGAGAATCGAAAGTGATGAGGAGGAAGAAGATTGTGAAGAGGACGAGGAAAGAGCTAGAGAAGAGAACTTATCCAATGAGGATGAATCTGAATACAGTGAAGAACGCTCCAATTCTGAAGTCTCATCTGCAGCAAGTAGCCAGAACCAAGAAGAATCATTTCATTCATCAACTGAAGGGGAAAGTGAAGATAGTGTCAAAAACCAGATGGAAACTAAAAGAAGGGTAAAGAGACTTGAAAGTACTGATGWTGATGATGATGATGACGACGATGATGATGAATCTGGGTCRTCGTCTGGGGAAAGTAAAGACGGCCACGACTGCAGCAAAGATGTGAAAAACAYGTCTCAAAACAAATACCACTGTCCGTATGGACTGCATCAGTCTAATGCTGTCAATATCGAAAGGTGTGCCTGCATTCTTGATCAGGTGGAGAAGGAAAACTATGCAAGCAACGTACATCTTGCGAAGTAAGTTARTAGTGATCATAGCTTTGCAATGTCTACTTACTCAAGATAAGAGTGTTATTGTGAAGTAGAATGACCAAGGGTCAATGTCAAGGTGGTCACAGGGTTTGGGGGAAGGAGGKGGGATTAGGAAATTTGACTGCTATTTTGGTAGGGATTCTGACAATCTTAAGTATCCACTAACTGGTAGGGAATTAATGGGGTTGGCAGCTATGAGCTTCTAAGGACATGGAACTCGACCRTGACACTCCTCAAAATATCAAATTCCTCTGGGCCTACTCACCGTTTACACATGCCAGGGGGGTCAAACAGTGYATAAGTCATTGTCAGGCAGTTGGTGTTGATTTTCATTCATAAAAGTTTTCTGTTTTATTATCAGTGAAGAAGATAACCTTGGCAGGCATGACATGGCCCTGGACTACTATCTAGAAGCCTTGAAAATAGATTCAAGTGATCTCAGGATTCATAAACGAGCCCTGGAACTTGCAAAACAACAAAATCTAGTATAAAAGAGAGAGAGAAAAAAAATTGAAATTAGGCAGCATTTAAAATTGAAATTATCATTTAGCTTTTGTCTGTTTCATTTAAAAAATGTTTGGCAAGGTTTTGTTTTATGCATACCCAGCCTAAAACCAATAATTATTAACATCAAGGAAAAAATAATACAGCCGTATTTCAATTTACAGATGCATGTACACATTTCAAAAATAAATTGTTGTCATCGCCAAAGGTGATTAGGTCATTAGAACATGGAAATGGTTTTGTTGAATACATGCAGAGAACATTGATCAGTCTCAACACTAAGGTACATGTTCTTGACAAGAATAAGAAGCAGAAACACAAGTCATTCCAGCTATTTGGAAGTTTGAATGACCTATTACAATCTCCTATCACTTTATGCCTATTGCCTATTGCCTTTGGTGATGACAACCTTTTTTGAAATAGGCATAATATACAACACTTCTGTGGCAATGTAGTAATAAATTTGATCTTACCTGTGTAATGAATGTCAAAACTTAACTGATTTCTTGTTGTGCTTGGCTGCATGAGCTACTGTRTATTTAGTCAAATCCAACTAGTGGTTTATCATCATTCAATGCTGCATTCTGATTGAATGAACTACTACTAGGCTATGGCTTATATCTTTCTAGTAGAGAAAAGTGCCAGGTTTCAAAACCAACACATTAAATTTAACAATTTATTGTTTGCATCTATATATTTGACCGACTAGTTGGATTTGACTAAAACAATTAGTCCTCTCACCCTCACAGCCTATGTGTCAATAGCCCATTCAGGCTTGAGGGCTAGTATACTTGCTAAATAGTCAGATAGATATTTGTGCTTGAGAAAGGCTTTATTTCAGTCAAGAAACCTGTGTCCTAAAATTAAGGAGCTTGAAATATTATTACATCAATATTATAATATAAATAATATCAAATTTCATAGAGCCCAGCCCCATATTCTTGGCGCACTTAAAATATTAAAGTGTAGTAAATTTACGTCCAAGTAACTTTTGAACAACAATAGAAGACAAAACAATATATATACAYACAATATAGAACACTACATGTATTGTATTCCATGTGGACATAAATTTACAACTAATAGTAATTGATATATTAATATATCAGATTGTTATCAGATTTTGCCTGAGATATGAAATAAAAAGAAATATATGGATCAGCAGCATATAAAATTACATTCATTTGCATAATGATATATAATACAACAGCAACGTCTGCTGGATGTTGAGCCAAACGTGCACACTAAAAAAACCTCTATGTTCCCTGCCTTTTGAAAATGCCTACATTCATAAAATTACTCAGTTTTGCATAAGAAATATTTGTCCTGCAAAATTTCYGGCTTAAGTTCAAGACAATATGTAATATACAGTATAATACATGAAAACCCCACTTCCATCAAAGCTTAGAAATCTTCCAAATTAACAATCTCTTTTCCAATAACTTTCACCCTTTAGTTAGTTATATACTTTGTTTTGTCCATCAGTCTGGATAAATCTGCTAAGTGGCAAAGTTTTTGACTTTCTTAAAAACAATTTGACTTAGTGTCATGATACCACAACTACCTCAATCCTTTTTGCGGATCCTTTTGATTGTCTAATGAACTRTTTTCTCGGTCAACAAGTAGAAGTGATAACAGCAAACGGAAAAAGGAACAAAATTTGAGGAGGATTCTGGTAACAGTGGTAGATATAYTAAGTGGAATGTACAATTCATACCGTTTATATATTTTCAATTTCATTCATCTGTCTTATGAGGGTCACATACGTTTCCTTCTCAGTCTCATATGAATGGTTAGTCTTCACATATTCTTTTGCATTTGTAGTGATCTTCTTTAATAAGGATTTTGATTCTATAAGTTCCTTAGCCAAAGAAACAAATTCCTGGGGCCTTTGGAAGAGAAAGCCAGTTTTGCCATGATGGATGATAGCTGCATTGGCTGGTATATTCCTTGCTAAAACTGGAGTGTCRAGGGCCATGGCCTAAGAATATGAAAATAGATACAACTGAAATAAAGAATCTCATTCTCAAGTGAAAGACGTGTTCTGAAATGAGTTTGTGTTTGGCCGGCTAATCAAGATTAGGGCCAGAGGGGACCTCACCTCGATTAGTGTTGTAGCCATTCCTTCACTCTTGGAAGAGTTCACAACTGCAAATGAGTTTTGAATCAGGGCATGAAGATCACTGCTTGGAAGAGATGGCATCAATACTACTCCTGGTAAACTACACATTCAAGAGAACAAACAGACAAGGTTATTTACATTGACTTCTAGATAGGGAAAAACYGCCAAGGATAACGGACTGTGGTCAGAGATAATAATTATCAGAAAATGTTGCCCGCTCAAACAGCCAACAACTCAAATAAAGAATCTTATTCTCAAACAGCCAATCAGAATGCAGGATTTTGAAGATAGCAGACTAGAAAAAAAAAAGTCAGATTATGTGACCTCTATATACTATACACCACTGGTTAAGCCCAAGCTTTGTTATAGCAGGCATAAGGTACGGTAATGTGTCTTTGCTTCGACACCAATCACAAGACCAGAGATGTAAACCAATCAATCACAGCCCTCCAATGGGAACCTTGACTCTAACTAGCTGGCGCCTGAACCACAAAACCCTGTGAGTAAACACTGCCACTTTGCTCTCTATTTAGGGTTGATGAACCCACGCAATTTAATCTTCTCACACCACAACTTACGTCTTGACTTTCATCTTCACTTCTGATGCAAATTCTTTATCTAGCTGTGAATATAGTATGCAGTTGATTATTGTCATTGTATTTCAATTCCACTGAAATAGATCTCTTCCTTTGGTGAAGTATTTTCCCATTTCAGACCTCATGTCTTCTCATGAGAATAAGATTCTTTGTTTGAGTTGTATCTWTAGTCACATGTCTTCTCATGTGCAACCATTTAACAACAAAATGATACTCTAAGGAATGACATGCAGTCTTAAATGGGAAAACATTAAACCYAAGGTAGAGGTCTATCATGTCAAATGAGACCAGTTCTACTGTCCTTAATTATGCATTTGACTGTCTTCCATCAAATCATAACTTACCTCTGGTCCAATAATAACAAGGAATATTCTCTTGTCTTGACTATGCCACTCTGCAGAAACACAACAGAATTTATGGGTCACTTTTTGCTATAAAAGTCTTGTATTATGATGGTGACACGGCACGGCTCTTGACACAGTCATGGTACAGGATTGATGACATTCTTTGAACCAATCAGAGCATGCGAGGTCTACTATTCATTCAATGGGAATGCTTCACTCATCAACATCATGATTCTGTGAGCTAGTATTTACAGTCATAAAATCTTCTCTTAGGTGAAGGAGTTTGTAATCTTATCTGTAACATATTCTACCTGAAACAGCTTCCACTAGGTATAAAGGATCCTTGACTCTTCTTAAACCAGCAACCAGTAGAAATATTAACTACAATGAATAATAACAGGGTTATGCAATCAAAAGCAGTACTAGGGAGGGGAAGGGAGGGATGCTTTTATCTAATGTAGTCATCCATGGTTGGCTTACAACAATATATGAARATAACTATTTTCACATTAACAATATAATTTATTTGCATAGCAACTTATTTGTTGTTTTGGACATGATCCAAGTAGCTAAGCTAAAAGCACTTTTAAACTTACTTAACTAATTAAGGCTCTCCGCACCAAGAGGTGCATATGTGACCTTTCATGCACAAGTGTGTCCCTGATTACTTACTCTCTCCTGAGGACTGCCATTGTTTTCCTCCTCTAAATCTGTAACTAAAAATAACTTCAATTTAACTATYATTAGCCAATCTGAGGTTGAGGAAAAAATGGGTCAAACTGGTATTGCAGTGTATTGTGGGGCTGTTTGAGGGGACACAATTCCCAGATAGCATCTATTCAGTCTGTGACAGCCCCAAAAAGGCACTGCAATAACTACTCAACACAGTTTTTACCCTCAACCTCGGAATGGGTAAAAATGACGTTCAAGGACCATAGAGTATTTTTAAAAAGGTAGGGGATTGGCTTACATTGGAATTAGCAGACTAGCTACTATATGAATATGACTAGAAGTGAAATATGGTAAAACCTTGAAAGTTTTATCAGAGAGTATTTATTTGTGTGTGTTGGGGGGCACTTAATAAGCCCACCAGCCCCTGCCTCAATGTAACATTCAAATACTTGAAACATTTTAAGCCATACATATGAATGCTGAGGTGCAACAGTTGAAAAATACTTACAGATTTGTCTGTGCATTAGCACTTGTGGACATGTGTTTGAAGAACTTACAAGCACAGCTAAAGGAAGCAACAGCAGATTAGTAAGTTTCTTTTGTCTCTGCAAAATGTTTGTGTTGAAGTATGACAAATTATCATTCATCTCAAAATAGATACTGGGTTCCCTGTGTCATTGTTAGCATACCTTGGGATTGTATTCTGATCTTGTCCTTGTAACTTGGCTTAAAAAAATAAGGTGGGAATGTTAAGGAAGAACATTCAAATCTTATAACAGCTCAGCTCTGTTTGAG